TTCTATCATTCTTACTCACTGTCTAGCTCTCTGACGCATAGCAAAGACCATGGTCTGGATAAAGCATACTTTGGTCTCTAGATTTATATCATTGCTCTTTAACAAAGAGTGTGTGCTGAAGGCGGATCTGAACAAGATCAAATTGCTAACATTCTCAATCTCGTCTCCAATCTATCATGGTCCTGTCAATTGGGCTAGTGGTGAGAATCTTTGTGGGCTTCCTGCAGTTTTTCTTAATATTCACCCCATTTCCAATTTGGTGGTGTTTTGGTTCTTTGGTTTATTTTTTGTTTTGTTTTGTTTTTGTTTGCACTCAATAATGTGTTTACATTATGTTTTGTTTATGTACATTGTTTGTTGGATTTTTTTTGCCCACTCCTCCCACCCACCAAACCCTAGAGCCTTGTGATTTTCCTCCCTCCCCAACTTCAGTTCCCTCTCCTCCTCCCCTTCCCTTTTTAAATATCCATATACCTTACTGGTTAGCCTTCTTTTTACAATAATGGTCTTACACAGTATTTGTCCTTATGCACCTGTGTGAGCTCACTCAGCATAACGTACTGTAGCTTCTCCCATGTCATACAGTATTCTTCTAAATAATTGTTCCTGAGTGCTATTCCATCATGTGAATGTACTACAATTTTTCTCAATCTAACTTGTTGATGGACATTTGGGCTGTTTCCATGATTTTACTATCATGAATAATGCTGCTACACATCAGCGTACAAATCTCCGTTTGCGTCTCATTTGTGTTTTCCTTCAGGTATATACCTAGCAGTGGAATAAATGGATCCTAGGCAATGTCTATATCCAGCTTTTTGAGGAAATATCAAACTGCCTTCCAGAGTGTAACATTTATAATCCATTCAACAGTGTTATGAGAATTTCATGTCTCCACATCCTCTCCAATATTTATTGCTTGCATTCCATTGAAACTTTTTTACTGCAACTGGGATAAGATGATATCTCATTGTGGTTTTGATTTGCTTCTCTCTTAGTGCCAATGATTTTGAGCATTTCTTCATGTGTCTACTGGCCATCTGGATGTCTTCCTCTGTGAAAGGTCTTCCCTTATCTTTTGCCGATTTTGTAATTGGGTTATCAGTCTTTTTGTTGTGAAGCCCTGTAGTAGTCTATACATTTTGGTTATGAGACCTTAGTCTGAGAATGCATTGCCAAATGTTTTTTACCCAGTCCGTAGGTTTTCTTTTCACCCTACTGGAAAAAGGTTTTGGTGCACACACTTAATCTTTAGAAAGTCCCATTCATCAATATTATCTTCTCCTGATTGTGCAGAGAATCTTTCTCTTGATGTTGAGCTTCTATCCATATTGAAGGCTGCACTCCTTGATCTTCTGTAGCAAATGCTTCAGGTCCTCCTCAATTCTGGCAAGCAAGGTTGTGTCTTCTGCATAATGCAGGTTGTTCATAAATCTTCCTCGAATCCTGATCCCACATTCCTACTCATAAAGTCCAGCCTACTATATGATCTGTTCCACATACAGATTGAAAAGTTATGGAGACAGGATGTATCCCTGATGTATTCCTTTCTTGATGCAATGTTTTCCTACTCTGTTCTGGTAATTGCTTCCTAGTCTAGGTATATGTTTCACATGAACACAATCAAGTGTTCTGGGATTCCCATTCTTCTCAATATTAGCCACAATTTATTGTATTCCACAGTCAAATGCCATTGCACAGTCAATAAAACACACACAAACATTCTTCTGGTACTCTCTGCTTTTAGCCAAGATCCATCTGAGCACAGGAGAACCTATGTTTCTGTTCACTCCTGAACCTTCCCTATCAAGGAATATACCAAATAAACTGTCTAGTTACTTACATGGATCACACACACAACTGCACAGGTGGCAAATATGAAGCATTCAACAAGTTACTTGCTGAAAAAATGAGACTCAGTGTAAGTGGTATAAATTTCCAAAAAGAGAAATTACGCAGCATAAACTCTCTAGTCTTCTGTATTATAATTCCTTGAGGGGAGACAATAATCTCTCTGCACAGCTGAGTAGATTAAAAGCACAATGATGTCTGTACAATAGCTATTAAAAAATAAAACTGGACCATCGACTGGAAAATTCACATCAAAAAAGCATCAACGTAAGACGTATATAAAATCAGGCCAATAATTTCTAGATGTTTTTAAATTTGTAGGAACGCTGGTGTCCATTAACGCTGCCCGGAGACAAAAAGTTAGATTCCACCAGCTGCTCCGTGGAAGAAAGATGGACAATCTCCTCGCATGTAATTTACAGTTTCTGAAAACTCTCTGGAGGGTCCGCTATGAGTTGGTTCTTCCACTACAGCCATGTTGTTATTGTTGGTAGTGTGGCGTTAGAACCAACTTAAGGCTGACCCTCCAGTGGGTTTTCACAGGCAGTAAATCGCACTGGAGATGACCCTCCAGTAGGTTTTCAGAAGCAGTAAATTGTAATGGAGGAGACTGCACGCCTTCCTCCCATGGAGCAGCTGGATTCAAACCCTATGCTTTTGAGTTGGCCACATAATTCCTGACAACTAAGCCACGATCACTCCCCTACAGCAATGAGTGAGTGAGGTTCAATTTGTGACTGGGCTTCACCAACTGTATCAATACTAACTGTATTCTTTTTAGAAACGCAGAACATTAAACCCTAATTAGTCCTACTGAATAAAACTGCCCATTCTAATATGATCCCACATGATCCTTAGCACACATCAAAGCACTGGTCTACAAGATTAAAATGAAACTGACTATCATCATCCCAGAAGTCACTGTCTTCTGTGTTATCTATGTAACAAACTTTTGTAAAGTAGCTTTAGAAATGACCATGACACACTTTCAAGTATATCAGGGTATTTTAGGGTAAATACAAATAACTACTACAAAGAGTAAATATTGAGAACCCATTCAATACTGAATGAAATTTTCAGGAATTATATCCAAAAAAATGTAAATAAACAATCTCTGCTTTCCTAAGAGACATAAAAGAGAAAAAAGGAAGGAAGGAATTTCAGTTGTTGTCAAACAGCTTGCGACTCATAGCAACCCTACAGTCCCCTGAACTCTGCTCTATCCTGGGCCAACTTCATTGTCTCTGACACACCTAACCCTATGCCCAGGCAATGAGGCAACCTATCTAATCCAGGATTCTCGTGTGCTATCCCTCCACCCTTCCAAGCATGATGTCCCTCTCCCAAGGACTGGTCCCTCCTTGCAACATGTCCAAAGCAGAAGTGAAAAATACTTAATACCAAAGTCAGAATAATGAAAATTAAGTACACTTCAGAATAACGTGTGGTTCAGCATTACAAACGGTTCCAAATATCATTCTATTAATTCAAAACTTAGATAATTTTATATGAAACTATGTCATAAAAGAACCTAAAATCAGACCTTTTAATCACCTTCATTCTGAGAATGGAACTAACTACCCTCTAAATCGCCAGAAAAATCTCAAACCAGAGTGTATTTCATGGACTTGCAAAAACACTTATAAACCTTCAAGCCACAAGGGTCATCCAAAGCGGCGGCCAGATGTGAGGTCACAGGGACTCACAGTCAAATTTGCCCTTTAAAAAAAAAAAAAAAAGGAAAAGGGCTTAGATGAGGAAAGATTGTAGGCCATTTTCATCGCCTCGCTGACCTGTGAACACCTCTTCATAGCAAGGCAAGAGAGCGTAAATATAATGCAGGTCCTTGAACTCGCATATTTTAAATGTCCTGAACTTAATACTAAAGTTTGAAGCCCATCTTCCTCCCAGCAACAGGCACTACGATGACAGGTCAAACCTCGAACTCCCTTTCCTCCATCCTTGCAGGATTTGAGATTCCGTGCCTTCACCCCAAAAATAAAACCCATTCTGACCCTGCAAAGTGATAAATCAGCATAGCATGGTCCCCCAGGGCCCCTTGGGCGCCACAACAGCACCGCCCAGCCTAACCTCTAAACAAAACTCGCCCTAGGGAGAGGTCGAAGGGGTCTCACCAAGTACAGAGGGGCATAGATCTTCAGGGACTCCTCCAGGGCGCCCCGCGTGATCTGCAGGAAGGAGACCCCGCAGGAAGGGTGCCAAGTGTGGCCGATCTCATAGCAGTTATGAGGGATGGACTTGCTGAAAGCCGCCATGACGACGAACACGGAGGGACTGAAGGGGGAGAGTCGGGTGTAGAGAGAGGCGGGGGCAGCTGCCTAGCGAGCGCCCAACCGCCGAGCGCTCTCCCGACGGGCCGCGGGAGGTGCGGAATAGAAGGGAAAGGTCACGCGAGAAGGGTTACTCTGGGCCAAAGTCCTCGGATGTTGAGCGCTCGACGTATCGCAGCTCAAGGGGGCGGGACGCGCACCCGGGCAGAGGGAAGAGGCGGAGCGTGCGCGCTCCCTCAAGCTGGCTTCTGCCGGGGGCGGGCTCCCGCGGCTTGGGCGCGCGCTCTCGCCTCAGCCGGGGATGCTGCGGCTGCGAATACTCAGGCTCTCGGCCCCACAACTCACCCCGGAGAGCGCTCCGCGGCTGGGAGCGCAGCGAGGATCCCGCCTGCCTCCTCACCCGCCACGCTGTGCCCCGCACTGCAGTGCGAATGCAATGACTGGAGCTCAGTGCTACGTAACTTGGAATGTTTTCCAATTGTAAGGAGCCCTAGTAGTGCAGCGATTAAAGTGTCTCATTGCCAACCAACCTGCTGATCGAAAAGGTGCCTCTCTGGGAAAGAGGCTATTTCCTAAAACTTTACACTCTTCACCACTGTGAAACAAGATCTATTATATTCGAGTCTCTGTCCTCTCAAAGCCCAACCAAACAAGGATGGTGACAGTGGAAGGAAGGATGAAAATATGGAACTAGTTAAGAAATAGGATGCCAGAAGGCAGCCAGGAAGACACTAACGTCCACCATCTAAGTGCCTGCACCTCCTCCCGAGAGGACCAATGCTCACAGTACCTGGATTTTTTTTGATAACTGCTCTGCTTAAGGCGGCTTTCGAAATATCAGTCAAGGACAAAAGTCACCAAGTTCAGATCTTGAGCATCTGAGCAAAAGGGCCAGAGCAAACTAGACAAGTGCGTGCTCATTAACCTCATAGAGACAGCAATAGAGTGTTAGAACTCACACCTAGCTAGACAGCTTGAAGTAAATCTTATCTGAAATCTCATCCCAGCAAGATGATACATGCGTTTGGGGGCGGGGGGGGGGGAGAGGGGAACCGAAAAATTGCAAAGTAGAGCTTTGCTCACACTCTAGAAGTTAACATATATAACTGTGTTAATGTGGTAAGTAGTAGAACCATCATACTTTTTCAAATTAAAGACTTTTCATGGTGCCACAGTTGAATTCAAAGGCTAAAAAACATTGCATTTGCATGGGCTGTTTCTTTTTTTATGCTATGACCAATAGTTTGACTGGATAGTTTTGGGGGCCTTTGGGGGGGGGGGTGGGGAGAAGGCTAAAGACTTCATCAACAAGGTGTAGCAAAAAGTTTCTCTACAGAAGATAAGTAGTGAATCAAGAACACTAATTCAGCAATTTTGGAGAGCCCTGGTGGTGTATGTCACA